GATTGGCATAAGCCACTCTATCTTTCACTATACGTACATTGATTTCATCACTCACGCCACCACCAGCACTTATGCAGCTATCTATATACACGAACTTCTCGACTACTTCTATCTGCTCACCATCCAGGGTGAGTACAGGATTAGAATCCGACAGATCGCAGCCCCGATGCAATCAAGCATGAATTCTACCACCAGTTAACTGTTCTTCTCCAGAAAGTGCATTCGACAGATATTGTAGTACTAGCCGGAGACTTGAATGCTCAGGTCGGGCGTCTAGGCACAGAAGAGAGTCGTTTAGGTGGCCGATGGGGACTTGTTGGTCGCAGGTCAGATAACGGGGACCGTCTACTGCAACTGTGCACAGACCACAACCTGTTTCTGGCTAGCACTAACTTCTGGCACAGTCATTGCCGATGTGCCACCTGGCGTCCTCCCTCTGCATCTCAAGCCTGGACTTAGATTGATCACATAGCGATCAGCTACCGCTGGCGTGGTTGTGTACAAAACTGCCGCTCCTTTTGGAGTACCTCTCTGGACTCTGATCATGCCCTTGTTTCCGCTAATCTTACCTTACGTTTCAGCAGCCAATAAATACATCCCCCTGAACAGATCAATATCAACAAATTGGCTGCAGCTTCTGTTGCAATTAAAATATCAAACGGAGCTAGGTTTTAAGGCTAGCTACCATTCCACCGAAAAGTATAGAGAGGCATTGGTTGCAATTGCATGATATATTGTTCATATCTTCATCCTCCGCCAAATGTTAGAACACTGTCATACTTATCACAGGTAAACAATCGTAGTGTTTCTTGACATCAGGACTGCCTTCGATTCGTTGGATAAGACTGTTTTCTGAGATTGTTTATTGAAGGGGGTGCCTGAGAAGCTCATTAACATTCTAAATGCCTCAGGCAGAGTGAGGGCATACAACCACCTTTCTCCATTGTTCCATTCATGCAGCGGGGTTAGACAACGTTGCCCAATCTCACTTTGTTATCGACGTTCTAGAAATAGCTCTGATGGATATAAATAATGGTGGTGTGAATCTCTTGCCTGGGAAACGACTCTTCAACCTTGAGAGTGTGGATAATATTGTCTTTCTGTGCGGTGATATCCAAGCTATGCAGTCCGCAGTTAATCAGTCGGCAGTTAGTGTCCGTAGGTATAGCATGTGGTTTACACCTAAGTGCAAAGTACTTTAACAAGACTAGTAGCACTCTCTGTGTTTTATCATCGTTGTATCCGAAGGATTGCTGACATCCAATGGCAACACCATGTTAGTAATGCAGAGGTATGGCATCGTGTATTTGGGCGCAGAGACGATAATTCAATTGGTGTCACCATCTTGAAACATCGACTTCGGTGGCTTGGACATGTTCTACGAATGTCGTCTCAGAGAATTCCACGTCGTGCATTATTTACCGTCACTGGGACTGGTTGGAAAAGGCGGGGAGGTGGTCAGTGTATGACATGGTGTCGTGGTATGAAAGAAAGCCGCATAGGACTGGCTTGTGCTGGTCCTTCACGACTCCTTGGTTGGTGTCCTAGAGATGGTGCAACGCAGTGGCTAGAGACTTTGTCAGATATGGCTCAGAATAGAAGCCAGTGGCGATCCTGCTGTAACCTTCTTTTACTTTCTTCATAAAAGGTGACCATAACTTCTTCAACCGAAAAAATTGTTTCTGGTTGTACCTTTCCGTTTCCCCCATTATTATTATTATTATTATTATTATTATTATTATTATTATTATTATTATTTTTATTTTTATTACACTACCTTACACTAATCTGTTCGCTATTGTTTTTTTCTCTTTTAATCCTCATTGTTTTGTGTGGCGCATATATATTTGGTGCCATCTTGTTCCAATATTTATGTGTTCAAATAAATAAATATATAAATGGGGCAATAGTATGATTTGTAGTTCTAAAAAGTTTGGAAATAAAGGGATTCTCCGAAAAGAAGGAATGAATTCTCTGAATAAAAAGTATGAAGTAATGTTGAAACTTGGAATAGAACAGAGAAAAAGATGAATACATCTGTATCACATCATCAACCGACTTTTCGTTTTCCCTGTGTACCCTACTACATTCAGCATTTATCACTTAGTTGTCCCCACATGCTACCAATGCTTCGAAGATATCAGATGTCCTCTACTTTCCACAGCCATGTTTTCTAGCCATAATTTGAAACAGCCAAATACTATGTAGTAGACGCGCTCCCTAATTAGCAAACAAACGTTTTGTTTTGGAGAGCATCCCTCGCAAATTTCATGCAATTTTCCGGCACATTTTTTTAACGAAAATTCTAAGAAATCTCCTGATCGACAGAATCAAATCCTATCTTAACTTCGAAGGATACAACTGGTATTTCTATTTTCCAGAATTCAACGAGGGTTGAATATTTGACTGGTACATTCACATCTAGTTCTGAAACTAGTTCGGTTTCTCTAAGTTTACTGTCCATAATCTATTTTAATTTCAGATGATTATTGAGGCTAATATTTTAAATACTATATGGGTCAGGGTGATTCATCCCTCGTTATCCCAAGAGACTTCTATTCCTTTTCTAAAAATTCTGAAACGATCAGCAATTGAGGTCAGTTAGATGAGGTTACGTTTAGCTTCCAAACTCTAGAAAATACCTCGGTCATTCTAACCACCAAGATTTGACCAATCCCCTTAGAGACCTCCTAAGTTATTTCATCAGATTTTATTACTCTATCTCCTTCCTCATGCTAGATGTGCTCTTTCTAACTTCACTAAGAGTGTGGGAGACATTTTTCGACCTCATACTCAGGTTGTTTGGTGAGGATGAGTAGCTTGAGAGTAACTGGAGGCTACTAAAACTTACTTAAGGTGTTCCTGTCATATAGGATGACATAGGTTCGTGGTTCGTAGAAAGTATTACTAATAACTGACTTTTTAACACCTAGGTCTAAGGTTTCCAACCAACTGCTTCCAACTACCTAAAATCAAATACACAAGTATCTACGAAAATGTTAGTAAACTCCACACCATTGTACTTAGTCAATTTTCGCATATGAGAAACTGCTAAATTCAAGGATTTAAGGTTTAAGTCATGAAATTATAAGTGTTTTCAGAATATCTCGCGTGTATTAGAGCATTCTAAAGCGTAAAGAGAACAAGTAGGTATGGTGAATGATCTTCGAATGGCGTGGCCGAGATATGTTGCACACTCCTGCTCACCGTCGTTCAAATAAAATTATCGTGGTCAAAGTTAAGCTTAGGATTTAGGAAGGTGCTGGTTGGTTAGCCAAGACAAAATCATTTAATAGTCCTTAATTAATCTAGGATATATAAATATGTATTTACTCTTTGATTGGTGTAAAATGAAGGGATTTTATTTAGTTTTAAAAGATTTTGTGATGTACTTGAAAACCTATTCCAAGGTAACTTTCATCCTCACTTTTTTACTCTACCGCTTAGCTCACGCCATTGTTGTTACCACTTGCATTAATTCACTTTCTTTACTGTCACTGAAATCATCATCTTGTTTGCTGGGTTTTATTCTCCAGTTTAAGTTTTGTGTGATTCCTGTCTATCTTCTAATGCATTTATTTCTGTTTCAAACACATTCTTGGTCTTCTCAGAAAGCTGACTTAGTATCTTGGTCCAAACTTTGGGCTTATTTTATTTATTTTATTTTAACACATAGATATTGGTACAAGGAGGCACCAAATACATATGCGCCACACAAATCTCATTCGATATGTGTGAGGGCTGTGATACTGTCCGGGTGCCCAACCCGAAGCAGGTGGTTTTCTTAGTGGGCCACTCCCCGAGCCTTCGACCTGAAGGTCTGATCCACAAGGCAGTGGAGCATCGTAAGGAGATTCAGTCCCATGGAAGCCGGCGACCAACAATTAGTTCATACGCCTTTTGTTCCCGCAGGATACTGGAGCCCATGTGCACCTTTGATTTGGAATCCGGTTAAAGCGCCGGACATTCACTTTTCGTCCTCTCATTTTTGTAAACAACACCCCCGCCACGAGAAGGCAGTGAGTAGGACTTCCCTGGCAGAGGCTATATACGCGTGGCCATGTGAGAGCATTTCGAGAGGGAGAGCGGACTCTCCCCACTCTCGGCCGTACCAGGGCATTTGGGGGCACTTTGGGCTACCCGTTTTAGTTTAAGCAATCTATTGTCTATCGGTGTCGTTTCTCTTTAATAACCCATGCTTTCGCCTGAACTACATATGTATGAAAGTAGTTAGCGGTGGGGGTCTTCCAACGAAAGCATGAGTATATTTCTCACCAGTTCGTACTGTTCTACTTTAAGACTTATGAAACATGGCCTTACTAGATAAAGTTGGCAATTTGGTTGGTGAGGTAGTGAACCTTCATCGATAGGTGGTTGGGACATGTATTACGTATGCCAAACTAGCGCTTAACTAAACGGGTGACGTCTGGTGTAAGAGTATATTGGAAGAAAGCTAGGGACAGCCAAACCAAGACATAGAGCCACCTAATGAAATCATTGACGATTAGAATGATTCGTGTAAATAGTTGTAGACTGTCTAGCTAGGGTCTGCGCGATTATCGTAACTAAAGGTTAGAGGCATTAAGCAACGTGGCTCAGGGCTGTTTTTTATGGCGTAGATGCATTCTCACTTTGTCTCCATTCCGATCCTGAGCTTTAAAGTTACCTTATATTTCCTTATTTCATGAATTTTGTTTTCTTCCCGTTCATATTGTCTGCTTAAGCTTTTACAATACGGCTAATACTGTGATATGGGATTCGTCTTAATAATTTTATCCTCCTGTATTAATGTGGTGTGACAACCTGAACCAATGAAAGTATGTTCTGGTTCCTATGTTGCCTATAATTTCCTTCGTAACCTTCGAAAGTATTCAGTATGTTTTATCGTGGAACGTTCATGCGTGTTCATTTGGTAATGAATCTTTTGGGACATTCTATTAATTAAAATAAATTTCAAATAAAACTCATTCATTCCAGTTTGTTGACTTGAACATATTCTAATGGCTGACTATCTGAAGTCTGCATTAAGCTATTTCGCCACCTCAAACACTACTAAAAATGAAAATGAATTTCTTGGCAGTAGTATATCTGTCGGGCAACTAAGTTTAAAAGTTAAGAGGATCATTGCTGAAGGTGGCTATGGAATAGTTTATGAAGCTCAAGATGTCAATGAAAATACATCATATGCGTTAAAGGTATCTGTTTACTTTTATAATCACTTGTTTAGCGTATGCTCGCTCACGACAAACCTTCAATGGATTTAATTCTTCATGAAGTTCGTTTACTGGTATGTATGTATCAGATTTTTTACCGTATTGATGAATCCCTTACCTTTAGAAACAATTAAACGGACATCCAAACATCCTTAAGTTTTTTAGTGCAGCATCTGTTGGTAAAGAGAAAATGAAGGTTATTGGTACTGAGTTCTTAATAGTCACAGAGTTTTGTAAAGGTAAGTTCATATTTTCTCTCCTCATATTTGTTAAACACTTTATATTGTGTCCATATTTTTGTAGTCAATAGTTTCTGTGAAGTTTTTAGACCTATTGATTCTATTATTCATAAAGGTATTTAGTAGCTGCTGTTTTTTTTTTTGATTTCCTTGATTTGACTGTTCCACTCTATTGTTTATGCCACGACAATAGTCTGACATTCATGAACAATATAGGACCTGTCACAAATATGTATAGATAGATTTTATATCTTAACTATTCCTGTTATCCTGCGCAATTTTCCTATCATATTGAAAATGATATAACAGCCTTAGTTATTTACATGAAAGTGCTACTTTTCACTTTCGAAACATGTTTTTCAGTAACTGTATTAGTTTCTGGTAATCTGTCTAGGATCCACTAACATCAGTGAACTATTTTTCAGATTTTTCCTATATTACATAGTCAACAACGTAATAGCTGATATTGGTTTGTTTGCGATCAGTAAAGTCTGTATCAGAGATTTGTCAACAGATGAAATTCTTAATGTTTAACTTTCACAGAATGAGTGATTTTGGCCGAAAAGACTGTTTTATTGGATTTAGATTAATCACTGTATTATGTTATAAAATTAGTTTTAGAAATAATGTATTCATTGAAATAGAATGCAGCGGTTTTTTAGCATTCTAATGCATGATTATTCATCAGTTTCGATAACTGGCTAATGAATACTTTTTTGGTAGTTTTTTCACAGCTGTGTTATTTTCACGACTGAATGGTTTTTGTAAATCAAACTGAGTGTTTTGTGGATCTTATTAAATTCACCTATGATCATTTGAAATGAATAAAAGAAGAGTTTTCTTTATAATGACACCAGTGAACATGTAGATTGGTAACACTTCGAAGATGAGAATTGTACTTCGTAAGCTTGGAGCAGCTGAATATGGAAAGTATTCGAACCTTATCTTGCCAAAAAAAACCAACGATATTTTTTTGATTCTAATGTACAAAAATTAACAGAAATTTCTACTAATCAGACTTCTTAACTTAATTTGCAATATGTCTTAAAACCGTTAAAAGACCTGAAGAGGATTTTTTTTCATATGCAGCATTTGTTAATAAATAATGCTAAAGTTTTAAGCTGCGTTCACTTCCTAACGAACAATTTGAGTGTCTTATCTTTGTATGCGGGTCACAATCATTGTCACACTCAGGTGTTCGTACTAGAATTTTAAGCAGAATCAAGTCAGATCTCAGTGTTACGTTTATAGATATCACAAATGAATGTCATCATATTATTAATCTTGAGAATGACACTAAAACGATTAAACGCTCAAATCTTAATTCATTTGGTTTGATGAAAATTCCTCATCCAGACCACATGATTCGCGAAATTTTTCATGCCCGAATCAAACGTGTAATATCTATAACTGTAATTCATGTTGCTCTAAAAGGACTCCCACTAGTTGGAACTATAGGACATGGTGTTCTTCACGTTTCTACCCGTTCAATGAACATAAATCCGCAAAATGTGGAGTAATCGACCATTTCGCAAACCCAGCAAACCTTTATCCCATTATCGAATGCCAAGAAGGATAAATTTTGTACATGTATTGTCGAAATCTAACCCCCAAAGCTTACCAAAATATTTATCCGATAATGTTAATGATCGCATTATCACTTTGCAATTGGACACTGCATCCGATGTTACTTTGATTTCTCGCAAAAGTTGGCACGAACTTGGCCAGCTATGCATCCATCCTACTAATGATTGCATAAAGAACGCATCGGTCATCCCAATCAAAATTTTTGGAATTACCAAATGTACAGTCAGATTTAATCTAATAATCAAATCTAAATGTTATGTTGCTGATGAATCCTTCAATCTGTTGGGTCTTGACTGGATCACAATTTAAAATGTTTGATTATCTTTAATCTAGATTCAGAAATGCTCGATCAGTCTTCTAATCCTATTTGCATCCAAGTATATTTCTATCGTCATATGATGCACAAATGGTGACAGACATTTTCTAGCGATTTTCAAAATGATCACAAAGGGAGGGATTGACCGAGAAAATCACTAGAAATAACCCCAAATCGAGCCTCACCCAACGGAAGGAAGACTTCGAATTCATTTGATAACATTTATCCACAAAGAGAGAGAGAGATGAGATTATAAACCCAAGGCGAAGATAATTGAAAATCAGTTTCCTAATGGGAAATATATAAACCACATCCATGACAGACGATTAAATTCAGATAAAGAACCTCCTAGCTTGAGCCTGCAGCTAGTTTGTTTGATTGATTTAGTCAGTTTAGAGCATCAGGATCAGCATGAAAGAAGTGATAGCCAGACCCCGAGAAAATCATCAAGAAGACGGCAGTCCCCTCTACGCCTTCAGTTACATCCAAGGAGTAAGATATTTTTGAAGAGGGTAAGGTGATATGGAGTCAGTCGACGACGATCGAAAGGGACCTAAAGGTCAAGTGCATTTCCTTCGGGTCAATTTACTAAGGATAGAGTAGTATATATGAATGAGTGTTTGTGCATTTCATTCTGTAGCCCAATACACTTTCTCGCTCAAGTAGTCATTTGGGGGGGGTGTTCGCGCGTAGCACAGAGTGTATCAGTATCTGCTTTCGGACACCACGCGTCACAACAATTATACTACATGAAGGCATTAGTGTGAAACCTTTGTAAATACTTTTTAACATAAATATTAAAGCAAATTTTGTGAGTGCTATAACCATACATTTTACACTGACCGCGTTGTTCATATTGCTTGTAAATCTTCAGGAAAAATTAAATCTCACACAACGTATAAAAGCAGTGGTTACTGAATCTTAAATGAAATATCATTACCTCTTTTCCATGATACAAGAATTTCATATTTGAGCAGTTCAGCTAATTAATTTATTTCTTAAATTTAGGGGGTCAGTTGGATAAATATTTACCGGCATCAAAATGTGAAAATCCCCTGCCATCGAACGTTATCTTACAAATATTTCATCAATGTTGTCGTGGTGTACAACATATGCATAGTCAATGTCCACCTGTGATACATCGAGATTTGAAAATTGAAAATCTATTACTTACTGATAATTTTATCATAAAGTTATGCGATTTTGGTAGTGCAACTACAATTACATATAGTCCAGATCAATCATGGACTGCTTTAAAACGTGGAAGTGTTCAAGAAGAAGTGAGTGTTGCGCTATCAGCGAGTTTAATAATCAATTTTAAAAATTAACTCTATCTATTGTAGCACTGTTGTTTTTGAACAACCATGAAATGATCAAACTATTTAACTTTTAAATTGAGCTACAGCTTCAAAAGCTTGCTTCATTAAGCTTTATTTAGTGTATTTTATATATATATCTTTATATGTGAAGATTTTGTGCAGCTTAAAATTTATCTCATCAAATCGGTTGACAAATCACTGACAAGGTCTAAATTTAATTGTGTAAAAATATTGATTCACGCTACAAACACGCGTTACTGAAATGGAAAGAGTATTTGTCCACAATGGCTAAATACTAAAATAGCAATGCAATTCTGTTAAAACTAATATGTATTCAGCTACATGCACCCTAGACGTGCATGGTGTTTCTTTTCAAGGTTTGTTCATCTATTTCCCCTCTGTGATTTGTAGTGTGTTGTAGTTTACATATTTAAAGTTTGGGCATTTCTGTATTCCACATTTGAGTAATATATTTTGGGTTAATTATTTCACTTTAAATCGTTTACACAACCTCTTATCTAGACTTTAGAGTTTAAGCGCTAAATAAGTTCATCCCTGTTGTTTAGTTATGTATTTCTCAAAATCAGACATATTTAAGACATATGTTGTAGTCTAAATCCTATCTTCTTGAGAGTTCACTTTGACAATACAATATTTTTCCTATGTATATTAGTCCATGGATTTCTAATTTCGTCAAATGAAGATATTATACAAAAGATTGTATTCTTATTTTATCAATCAAATTATTTGTTTGTCATATCTACTTTCTTATAGTTGTACCTTTGTACTGAATGCTTACTAGTGTGGTGAACGAGAACACCAATGGGGACAATCGAATACAAAATTATAGAGCACCTTAGTAAAATCGGAGAAAATTCTTCATTTGCGAAGTATTAGTCAATTACCTCAAGCTTGATTGTTCCTTCTGCAAAATGTCGATCAATCGTCTCGGACTTCGTTGTTATTTCGTTTCCACACCAATAATTATTTGTTCTCGTTCTCTTTTCTTTGATCTTCGTAACCTTCTGCCTCCAGGCATTCCACTTTCGATTGATGATACATACTACTTATATCTGTCGACATCAGTAGCACACCCCGCACTAGTATTTGTATCTGTTAAGTGGTATCATGTTTTACTAATAGCAATAGGCACTGTTGAACCAATGATTGATCTTCGAATTGTGCATTGTCTTCTGACATTGATATTATCTTTCAGTTATAAATTATTTTGTGAATAGATTTTCAAAACATATGTTATATTCTTTTCACCATTCATTCAATCTTTATCTAGTTCATGTATATGTTTTGTAGTTCGTTCTATCCGTCCTCACCATGTTTTTTTTACATCGTCTTAACTGCTATCTTAAGCTGGAGCGTTTCACAACACCAATGTATCGGGCTCCAGAAATGCTTGATCTTTACCAAAATTATCTTATTGGTACTCCATCGGATATTTGGGTAAGTCATTTTTAAAAATAAAGATTCATTTAACTGTAACCCATCTTTATACTAATTAAGCGGTATTGTTGTGTAATCTTAAGTGCCAATCGAAACTTATTGGTCAGATCGCTGTGTAACCATCAATCTAAGTTGCTCAAAATCGTGTTAGGTTATGTTTCTAATCCTTATTCTTAGTGATAGTTTCTATTGTTTTACTTATTTAAATTTAATTCTAAATAAATATAGACGCTAAAATGTACACTACAGTAAGTTTTATTAAGATTCGAAAAAATATGCAAGCGTTTTGGAATCATTGTTCTCTTGAATGAAACGTTTTATCCATAAATCTTCCAACAAATATTAAGAGGCATATCCTTTCGAATCTCAGACTACATGTTCATCATTGCTTTAGAAGCGGGCTTTTTCTAATTTTCTAGTTAAACATTCTGTATCCAGCAAACCGGTTTTAGCATTAAACACACCGTTGTTTTTTCATTTTTCCAAGAAGTACTACTTTGTCAGTTGAAACAGTTAGTACCGACCGTCTGTTAGAGCGTTTAAACCCTTAACTATATGAAAGCATTTCGTAAAGAGCATCGCATATCCCAAGGTTTGGGGAATTCATATTAACTTTTTAGATATCAATAAATGTTTCTAAAAAGGTAAACCATGTCAAAATTCTTTACAGCCGATTAGAAAAATTCATAAGATTATGAATGTAAGCTTTTCCGTAAATTACTTTGTCGACCATTTAAGTTAAAGTTTTTTCAGAATCTTGTATAATCTCAAGTTCAAGATTAACTGTACAGAAACATTTTCTTATTTTTTATGATTGAAATGATCTTGGTAGTAAATCGTATTGTTGTACTTCTCTCGTTTGATAATCGAAGTTGTACATTCATAAGAGCCTGAAAACCAATTAGAAATAAAGTGTTGCAAGCGTTTATTGAACCAGACATACTAAACTTATTGTCTATAGGGTTGTTGTGTTTGAAGAGATTACGAGATCATGTAAATCTGCGAACGGAACGAAGACTAAGCAACACAATGACCAAATAAACTAACTATTCAGATGCGTTCTAGCCCCGCTAACTAGAGGGAGAAGTCCAGGTTCAGAAGAGGGAAAGTGTATTCCACAAGCAGCCAGAGGCATGAATCACCACAAGCACAACTCTAGCATATATATACAGAATAAAAATAACCTTGGGAAAAGTAACAAAATAGTATATTAAAAGATAAAACGAACCAATGACATTTACGGTCCTTCCAAGTGGGAAATACAATCTGAAGGTAAAAATTGGCTCATTTGGCGCGCAAACCAGAGATTCAGATTTTCAAAATAAAATTACAAAAATAAGATGTTTACCAAATGAGTTCTGGGGATCTAGCATCCCTAACAAGGGTAGAACATAAGAGCTTTAGTAATCTTTTATCTATTTTATTTTGAATATAATGAATTCCGCTATTAGTTGCTATAACCTAATTTTATTTTGAAATTAATGATCCCATGTCCTCCCATCCGTCTAGAGACGATTTAACCATCCCAATTATCTACTCATTTGTTTATTGTCTTCAGTCTTATTCCACTTCGATTATATTATGTTGGTGTAATTATTTTGGACTTGTTAAGTTGATCACGGGAAACTCAATTTTTGTTAATAATACTAGAGTATTACTAGGAATAGCGGTAATCTGGAATACATTCTTTTCCAATTCAGTTTTTCGTATGACTTTTACCTTTTTCTGATTGATTGGTACTACTTTTTGTTTGCTAATTTCGTGTACGAATGAAGGGTTATGGTTCTGTTTCAAAAAATGTTTATTGAGTTGTACTTCTCCACGTTGTTCTGCCTAAACATTAAGATTTTCCTTCACTTTCTCTTTTTCTTATGGTAGTGTCTAATTTTTAAAATATTATGTTCAGGTTCACGACAGGACCGCTTGTATTAGAATATCTCAGCTGTCCTTAAATCCGTTAGTATTGTAGATCAATCGAAAACCTCAATAAAGATAATCGTTCTTGTTAATATTCAATAGAACTTGATGGATTTGTGATGTCTGTTTACCTTTGTTTGACAATAAACTATAATAATAAACTGAAAAAATGTTTAGATAATGCAGGATTTTTTAAAAAGAAATTTTGATAACATTGTTCGAAATTATAAGCAAAGATGGATAGTGGCGAGCAGTGGAATCCAGGACGCGCGTCTCGTCCTATTTGGGACTCGTCGGCTGGACGTACCTGCATCTCAGAGTGGATGTTCTCTCTGGGACTCGAACCCAGTGCCGTTCGCTTCAAACGCCATACCGTTACCCACTTACCTACTGAGTCTTGACCAATCGCAGTCCTAAACATCAATGGGAAGATTTAAGTAAAACAATACCAAGTGAATTAAACTTCACCCCATTTCACAAGCAATTAGCTATCAGGACTCAGTAGCTAAGTGGATAACGCAATGGCATTTGAAGCGAACGGCACTGGGTTCGAGTCCCAGAGAGAACATCCACTCTGAGATGCCGGTACGTCCAGCCGACGAGTCCCAAATAGGACGAGACGCGCGTCCTGGATTCCACTACTCGCCACTATCCATCATTGCTTATAATACTTGTAAATTAAGGAAATATCGAGGCAATACGCACAGTATGCACGTATGCCAATAAGAGACTAATCAATCGCAGTCCTAAACATCAATGGGAAGACTCAAGTAAAACAATACCAAGTGAATTGTAGTTCAAAATGTTATAAACTGTTAATTGACTCAGAATTATTCGAATAATTTTGATTGTGTTGATGTTCAAAACCTGTTTGTATTAGTATACATCTAGAATGTTGGGATTGAATTTAAAAGCAATATTTCTATACTCAATTTGTATTTTTAAGAAACTATATTTTATTTATCTAGAAAGTATCATTATTATCATTGTTTATTACAAATGGAACTACTCAATATTTTAATGTTTATTTTATCATTTCTTTATTTAAGGCTTTAGGTTGTATATTATTTTATTTAACATGTACTTATCATCCATTTGAGGATTCATCGAAATTGGCTATTCTCAATGCTAATTATAGTATACCGGCATCAATAAGTTCAGTGAATGCACCATTTTGCAGTTTAATTCGTAAGTTTACCTCTTGTTTTAGTGTTACTTCGAAATAGGTTTGCTTTCATTACACGTTAATTAAGTGTACTTCAGAGTAATATGTCACTAAGTTAGTAAACAATACTCGAGGTTTTATCATCTTATTCTCGGATTCTGGTTAGAAATGGAATTCAGGATACTAATCTTCATCCTATTTCGGGCTTATCTTTTAGACGTATCTGCTTCCAATTATTGGTTTTCACACAGTCTCCGATTCAGTACCTATCGTTTCTAGCGTCGAGTCCACCAAGCAACTGAGTCCCGATATCCACTAACAGTGTCCCAGTATTTTTGCGAACGTCAACACAAATGCGATTACATCCATCTGATAAGTTTCAAATGGACGAAAATGTACTCCCTGTATTCCACTGCCATTTACTATCGGAATATATATTAACTTGTAATTACAGGTGATTTATAGGCACTCATCTAGTATCCATATTCCAAAGTAGATTAACTAGAATCGTTCTGAATGAATACATTTCGTCACCCTGTACGTTTTATACAATGTTCCTAGCCACTTGCAAGTTCTCAGAAATCATCAAATCTTGAATCCTAAGAAACCAGAAGGGTGATATATATATATATATATATATATACATATATATATATATATATATATATATATATATATATAGTCGTATGCTCATCAATGACTAATTTTGAGAGGCGATTCTTGAAGTTCTAGAGAGAAGCTGTAAACACTAGAGTTCAATCTTGTCTAGTATGGGACAGCTAACCACTGACCACATCGTAAAATAGTTGCGCAAATCAGTTGGAGTTAAGCATGTAAACCATTAGATGTCGGCTCAATGGTTTAAGGAGTGTGTTTGTTGTCATACCTGAAGGTCATGGTCGTTGATGCGCACTTCTAAGGAGTGCCTCACTGCGACCTAATGGCTGTTAAGGACTTTCTAGTTTTGAGCGGTTGCTTGTGATGTTGACTTATATATGTTGTTATTATTACAAGTAATCTAGTCAAACTAAATGTTACCCATTTTTTTCTTTCAGGACAATTACTTCTCATAAATCCATCTCAACGTCCTAACATAAATGAAATTCTTGGTGAGTTATCTGAATTGGCGTCTATGAGAGAAGTTCGAGTAAGTGGTTCTATTCCTCTGTTGGAAGAAGTTGCTAAAAGACGTAATGTAAACGTTACAGCTAATCCTACAAGCCAGCCAATCAGTAAGTAATTGTTCGAATCAGACAATACAACTTTAAATCTCACCTAATAAGTTCCAAATTCTGGTAGTTAATTGTATGATTTTGTCTGATTTGTTATTTTTCATTCTGTCAGTCAGAAATCAGCCGAAAATTAATAACTATTTGGTTCAGTATCCTAACCAGTGACTAATATTCAGATTCCTATGTAGTCTTTTCTTTTCAATCATGACAATTTCTTATCATAAGTGCTTATAGAAGTCAAGTCATGGTGATAAGAAAATATTAACTGTTTATTTGAAAGAACAATAAAACTGTCTTACTTGTACTTTGATTTAGCATTTCCGTAATTCTTAATTAATTAAGGTAAGTCAACATTCTAAGCTAGATTAAGTTACCAGGATGTTTATCAAGTTTGATAAATTGAGTGTCATGAAGTCAAGGTATTTAATATTGTTCCAGATACTTATTTCGATTAAACTGAGTTTGACGATATGTCTTACTCACTTATATCGACATTGATATTTATCGTTTGACTATTCGCTGAAACAACGTTTATCTCAGTTCAATAAGCTTTTTAGATATTTGCTATAAAATTGAGTACACAAATGCTTACTTGAGAGTTAAGCTATATACTATCGTCTACCGTAAAGTATGCTCACAGAATAACCAAGTAAATCAATTTGTTTACAGCTGATTAATTACTCAATGGTGATATATTTATATTGTTCTGATCAAATTCTGTTAATCAAGTTGGTATGTAGGCACTAATTCGAGGGAATTGACATCACATTCACTATGTTGAGATTGTAAATAGTCAACAGGAGATCATCGACCTAGGTTTTCTTTAGTTGACACTCGTCAGCAAGGTGTTTCTGCAATCTTGAAGCTGACGTGGGTTCGAGTCCTACATAGCGTATAATTTACCTCAAGATTTCAGGTATACCTTACTAACATGTGCCAACTAGCATGAATGCTAGATCCAAGATCTTCCGGCGTTTACTACCAACCACTTGAAATATCACTCTATTTTCTAGTTACCTGTTGTTTTGTGTTTATTATTTATTAAAAGCATTTTTATCCCCATTAGCTTAATAGAATTGTTTTATATAGGATAAGGCATTGCTTTTAACAGACAGTGGAGCAGTGATTTAGTTGTGATAAAATACACAGGTTTTAACCACTGAGTTTCCTGCACGCTCAAATCTCATTTTGATTTGAGTAACAGGGTAGAATATGATTACCATTCGCACCTAAAATGTAGCTCAAAATAGAATACACAAGTCTGTAAATGATTATTAAATTATGGATAATGTAGTTCATGCCCTAACAAGTTCTTTAACTACAAATAACCATTGAAGGCACTCACAAGCCCATCATTTTGATGATGATTTGTAAGGATGTATTTTAATCAATACATTTTGCAGAATACTCTGAAATAAGTGTTTTTCTTTTGACGGAAAAAATGTAGTTAAATTATCTTCACCTTAAAATCAAATTTAAAAGACTTTAAAACATTGAAAATTTACTCATTCCTCTTACTCTATAGATCGTAATGATCCTAAAGTTAGTGATTATCATCCGAGATCAATGCATTCAGAAAATAATGTTGTTACAAATCCACAACCGTCATCTAATAAACCATCTAGACCCAATCCTCCAACATTGCCCTCACAACAAAAATTAAATCCAACAGTTAGTTTTAATCCACCATCATCATTGTCATCATCGTCAACAGTAGTCATAACAACTCAAGCACCTACAGTTAATCAAATTTCAAGTAATCAACAATTATCCAATCAATCTATGAGTAATATGCTTGGTATGATTAAAGGAGGCGCTGGCAATTTAATTCGTAATATACGAGATGCATCAACTAAAGTTATTGGGACTGTTTCTACGTGAGTACTATTTGTTGTTATCATTTTTCTTCATTTATGCTCAAATTACAACAATTTACATTTATCTCAATAGTTGAAATCATGAGTCAATTAAAGCTAAACCACCATGGAAAACCTGAAAGCACTGGACGGCTGTTTCATCCTCGTATGGGACTCCTCAGAAGTGCGCATTCATGCCGATATAATATTAACAGGCAATAATTACGTTTAATTGTTAGGTCCTCATTTCATTGGGATATGATGGGCAACATGCAATAAACTATCAAATCTATTATTTTTTCATTTAATCATCTTAGTTAACTAATAAAATAAAATGTGTTGTCTTAGTCAGTTTTATTGTTTTCTGATATCAATTCATTTGGAAATCGTGCATCAATTATTCCATATTGTGTAAGGAATTATCAATTGATTATATCGTATCATTGCATTGCCCATTATTTATCGATCAGTATTCTACTGATTTATTCGAATAGTTTTAAACTCTATTCATCATTATCATATAATAATTGTCGTTTGTCTTTTTTCTTCGTTTGGGGGAGGGGGCAGAGAAGCGAAAATATTACTTTATTATCAGTTATTATTATTAAGTCACAAGTTACATTTGTGAGAAAGTTGAATGCACACTACTGAGAAGTCCCATACTAAGATGAAACGGCCGTCTAGTGCTTTCAGGTTTTCAATGGTGGTCTAGCTTCAATTGACTCATGAATTCAATTATTAAATTACAACGATCTCCACAAAACCCTTCACTGATTATAACATAAGTGTTGATATCCATTTAATTGAACACGTATTTTAATCCTGTTACCATGTCGTCAAAATTTATATCCTAAACGTACTAATCATAATTTCATTAGTGATTTACTGAGTGGTTAAAACGTTTTTTTTACTTTCAACAATTTGATCTCACGTCTGGACTCGTTATTTATTTGTTTTAATTTGAACAATTGGGAATCATCATTAGTTCGTTCCGTCCTACTTTATGGCAGTGAAACATGGCCGGTAAGAGTAGAGGATATCCGTAGGTTACGAGTATTTGATCGTAGGTGTCTTAGAAATATTGCTCGTATATCCTGGGACCATCGAGTAAGTAATGCAGTTGTTAGGAAACGGGTACTAGGTAAGGATGGCAAATCAATTGATGACGTAGTGAAACTTCATCAGTTGAGATGGCTGGGACACGTGTTGCATATGCCCAACGACCGACTGCCTCGACGTGCGATGTTCAATGGTATAGGAGTAGGTTGAAAGAAAGCTAGGGGCGGCCAAACCAAAACATGGCACAAGTTCATGAAGTCACTGACAAGTGGAATGAGTCATATTGGTAGGTGTAGACTACCTGGTTGGGGACCGCGAGATGATAGCAATCGATGGTTAGAGACCTTGAATGACATGGCTCAAAATCGTTTGCAATGGCGCAGGTGCATACACTCTTTGTGTTCTCCCAAATTCTAATCTTTTGAATTCTTCATGTCCCTTTCTTTTTTCTCTTTCCAAATTTATTTCACTGGATTATACTCCTTGAATAATATCTTCAAACCTTAATTTTTCTGATTACAGCTTATAATTTTACTACATCTAGCACTACGGGATTTGAATCGACCACTGCATCTCTATGCTAAGGTGGTGTGGCAACTCGAACTGATGTACGTACGTACGGAGTTCTACGTTGTTACTGACTGACTGACTGTGTTATAACTTAGCCCTGTGCCCTATTGATGTACAACGTGATGATACCGCCAATTAGAGAACAGTGATTTGTCGACCGGACCAATGATGCATAAAACCAATACGAACAGTCTAGAGTCCTTAGCGATCCTGCTTCCCCGCCTACCCAACCTGTTAAGTCCAGAACACTAATCTCAGCCTCTGTGATATGAATAATTTATTTCAAACATACTGGGTTTATGTACCAATCAGACAATTCACATCGTACCATAAAATAGGAAACAACATTTGTACAAGATTTAACCAAAAGTGGCTGTGCATATGGGAGGTAGTAATTGATAGACTGGATATAACTCACGAATGGTAAATCGTATAATAACAGTTCATATGTCAAAACAAAGCTTATGATGAGAGGAACACGAATATGAATAGTTTAGTCATTTTAAAATTATACGATAAAAATATACGTATAGTATTGGTCCATAAATGGGTCCCAAAAGTTACCATTCATTATTCTCATCGGGATATAACAACCTGCACAAAGTATATTTTTCAAAGCTTTAAGTATGTGTACCTAGTTTTGATTACTGGGTTTCATCAATTGCTGATAGGCGTACATACAGGCAAATCCACGTATTGTCAATAACTAAGAAATACTTTAACTAAACAGCTTTCAGAAAAGTAAACTGCAATTATAGTCTTATGAAATCTCATGTACATAAGGTAAGTTAATATTCATTCATATTAGTGATACGAGTAGCTTATAATGATTTTACTGTTTCAACAATAGTTTTTAATACATGTATCCTAGTTTTATACAACTATCATTCGCTCCACGGCGCCATCCCATAAATCAACTAGCTCTTCTCTTTTTTCCATCCAGTTTTAAAACAGTGCATAATGTGAAAGTCACTGGGGTGACATTAGTAAAACATATCCAAATCGCCAAAGCTGGTGTTTTAAAACATTTTCATCGGTTGAAATAATATCACTATGCCCCAACACACAGTACCCGGATTTAGGTACTAACTGCACGGTGTTATCATCTGATTTAAATAATCCCTTGGAGACTTACGATCAACCACTAAGAGAGCCACCAAACATACTCAACTTAGCGGAGGTTATAATAGGCCTACTTTCACCAATTTATAAACCCGACGTTTTAGACTCAGATTAACGTTACGTCGGTCTATCAATTAATAAATCAAACTTCTGCTTGTTCAGTTTATAGGTGGTAACGTTACTTATAGAATTTTTTTGTTAATAATTTTATAACTGTCATTTAATAATTTACGCAACTTTTGTGTTTAAAAATATTGTCTCTGAGTTATTTGCTGATGATACTGTTGGGTTATAATAAAAGCATCTCCCTATTTTTGTACACTTATCTTTCAGCACGTTGAATACAGAGCTTGATTTCCAGTTTATCACTTCACGTATAGCAGGTTAGTAATCGTTAATAATCCTACTCACAGTAATGTATTCGTGTCAATATTTTATGGAAGTTTCTATAAGGTTCGTACTTAACATTTTCATTGTTGTTGCCTACTATTGGGAACTTGTTCACTTTTATTTAAGCTTCTTAACAGCATCCACGATTATGTTCATCAGGTTTAAATACAAATGTGCAGCGTTTCATAAAATTTATATTCCTCTACTCACCACCTTCAATGTGTTGTGTAATCCTTCACTCATATAGGATGCCTATTGGTGAAGTAAAGAATAGCTCGCTGTTAGATATCTGATACCGTTAATAATTAAGTTTGGGTTCATGTTTATTATGAATTCTCGATGGTGTTTTCGTTCTCCAGTGGTTTTGTGATTGTATTTTTCTGGTTACAGTTACATAGTATAATCTGATTTCCAATTATTTACTAACACCAATGTTCGGCAAGAACGAACTACAAATTTACTGCAGATTTTCACACTTTGGATATCATAGTGTAAATGCCAGCGATCCAACACAGTTTAGGTGCAATGGATTTTCATTGTTGTCTGATACTAGGATACTGCCTGACTACCTAAATTGAAATAGTTGAAGCGAAACCTTGATATTAAACCCAGTTACTGAAAGACTGGTTTTCAAATAACTGATCCAATACTCTAACTAAGTGAAAATGAATTGTGTAGCTTATGTGATTATAATTTCATCATGTATGTAATCTTTCCCATAATACTTAGGGAGATAACATTTAATTTCTTTTTTATTATGTATGGTACATGAATGCTTGATAACTACTAATCGTTGTCATAGAATCTACTAGACTTGAATTTTAGATGGAAGTCAAAGGCGGGAAATGTGGAAAAAGCTTTACTTTCAAGCTTAGCATTAGGTGTAGAAAATAAGTATATATCTTGAATTCGTTGAGGTTGTCAGTATCTGGAAGGAAGACTGTATTGAACCTTTGTAATGTTGTTTACTCAGTTCAATGTTTATTTAGCTTTAGTTTCACCTTGGCAACCACCAGTTGGTGGTGATCTGAAGATATGTCAGCTTCTCTCCTGGTTCTCACGTCTTCTATGTATCTTACGAATTTTTTACTGATGTAAATATGAACGATCTGGTTCTCTGCAGTGTGATCCAGTGAGACCCATGTAGCTTTGTGTATGCATTTGTGTGAGGACATTGTGCAGCCTATAACCGGTTTGTTGAATACACACAGACTTGAGGATGTTCAACGACTCTGTGTTTTATCATCGTTGTATCCGAAGGATTGCTGACATCCAATGGCAACACCATGTTAGTAATGCAGAGGTATGGCATCGTGTATTTGGGCGCAGAGACGATAATTCAATTGGTGTCACCATCTTGAAACATCGACTTCGGTGGCTTGGACATGTTCTACGAATGTCGTCTCAGAGAATTCCACGTCGTGCATTATTTACCGTCACTGGGACTGGTTGGAAAAGGCGGGGAGGTGGTCAGTGTATGACATGGTGTCGTGGTATGAAAGAAAGCCGCATAGGACTGGCTTGTGCTGGTCCTTCACGACTCCTTGGTTGGTGTCCTAGAGATGGTGCAACGCAGTGGCTAGAGACTTTGTCAGATATGGCTCAGAATAGAAGCCAGTGGCGATCCTGCTGTAACCTTCTTTTACTTTCTTCATAAAAGGTGACCATAACTTCTTCAACCGAAAAAATTGTTTCTGGTTGTACCTTTCCGTTTCCCCCATTATTATTATTTCTCTACCATACACTAATTTGTGGTCGCTTCTGTTCCGTCTTTTACACACACCTTACATCATTTATCTCTTCCCATTCTCATTATTATTGTATGGCGCATATGTATCTGGTGCCCCCTTGTACCAATATTTATGTATTCAAATAAGTAAATCAAATGCTCAGTTAACGGGATATTATTTATTAGAGTCAGATATAAGGGAAATAGCCTCTGCAGATTATAGGTTATTGTTGTCAACGTAATACGTACTCGACGTTCTTCAGTCTAAGCACGTGAGGATTACTCACTGATCTTTATATAATGAATATAATTAAGTGTTTAATATTTAAATAACTGATGTACTTATTAGATTATACCTATTTTACTGCATATATATAGTGAGTAGCAGTGACTAATTAAGTTGAGCAACCATTTCGGATTCGAGGAAGATACGCATCGAAGACAATGGTAGGTAATACTATTTCTCTGGTTCATTGAAACTAGACTTTTATACCATGAGATTCTGACTTGGTGGTTTAGAGATTAAGCGTTCGCGTATCAGTACGAGGTTCTCGGGCTTGATTCCCGATCGTACAGTCGTGGATGCGTACTGCTGGGAATTACAGTATTAAGACGAAACGGCTTTCTTGTACTTCAAGGTTTTTGATGGTGTTCCAACTGAATTCGGTTCGTGATATTAACGAGATTTAACAATTTTCTCAACTCGATGCCGATCTATGTAAAAACATGTGTTTTTACTTTTCAATTTAATTCATTTTCTTTGTACAAATTTACTAAAAAAAACACTGTCCTTTATGCTTTAGTTACATCTTTCCCCATTGAAAGTGGATTTGAAGTGCTTGCCAATGTGAATTCCATGGAAGAAATGCAAAATATGCTAGATGCACGTTTTTCAGATGCTTATGCCGTTTATAATCTTAGTAATCGTCCATATCGTTCAGATCATTGGTTTCATGGTAGAGTATCACATCGTGGTTTCGAAGCACACCGTGCTCCAGCGCTAAAATCATTAATTGAATTATGCTTAAATGCAAGGTTATGGTTAGCTCAAAAATCGAACAATATTTGTGTTATACATTGTACCGATGGTAAAACATTGTCCGCAGTACTAGCATGTTCCTTATTATGCTTTTGTCGGGTATTTGATAACGCGTCACCTGCAATTCAATTGTTTGCATCGAAACGTGGCAATCCTGGCTTGAATGCATCACAGATTAGGTATAAACTATTCGTTCTAATTTTTGTTCCTGTATTAATTGTGTTTTCTGTATATATTACACGTGAAGTTGTCATTAACTGTCTTATCCTAGCATTTAAAAGATTTAATGAATTGTAAACAAACTAACTGTATTTCGTTTTATTTCAGGATTTCATGTAGTAAAAAGGAGATAAGTGTGATGAATTAACTCAATGCCGTCAATCGAATAGCTAATGACAAGCATTTAGAGTAATAAACTATAGAATCAAAATCTAGGATAAAAAACCCATAAATTATAAAGTGTTACAAACAGGATTAATATTTGGAATCTATGGATTCGTGCAACTTTCGACAAATTTATAATAACAGCATACATGATGCTTATTAATATATTTATTTACAATTCCCCACTCGTTGATTTAAAGAGATTTCACTTTACTTTGAGACAATTAGTTAGAGACTTTGGCGTATTCTAATCATATTCACCGCATAATCATTGGAAATTTAATTCTTATTAAAATGCATTTTTTCAACAAGTCTCAATGTTGTCAAATAAAGTACGTTGTGGAAGTTTTTGGGATGATATTCGTAGCACATCCTCAAGCCACCGAAGCCAGTATTTCAAGATCGCGACACAAAGTGAGTCATCATCACTGTGCTCACACAAAAATTACTGAACATCCGCGTTACGGAAATGTTGTTGATACACGATAGACATCTCTCTACTTTCCCAGTTTCACTGACTTCATAAGAATGACGGTAGTTTCTGATGGAAATTGTTTGAAGTTAAATGAATAGTCAATTAAGCTTGTATGGTAATCATAGACTAACACACTGGCTGACAAAGCAGTGATCAATGGCGGTGCCATTAGAGTACAGGGCGTCTTAGTCATATATACACCTGTTTGTTTATGTGATAACGGAAACTATCTCCGAACTAAACGAATTTCTACAAACAAAAAAACTATCTGTTAAAAAGGTCTTTCTAGTGGGTGTTTATTTTGAAGCTATTATTCAATCTAAATAACACATCATGTTTAAATTATTCCCTTTATTTCCATGGATATTTATTTTCTGACACTCATTGTCTTATTGATTGTTTTATTTAATCAATTGAATGAACTCTAATTAATTTTGTTTCTTCTTTTCCTACTTGTTCATGCAGATATATCAACTATGTAGCTCAGTTAAGTCATAATCGTGTATTTACACCTCATCATTTCCCATTGAATCTTATCAGTTTGATAATTGCACCGGTACCAACATTTAATAAATCCAAGTAAGTACTCTCTTCATAAGTTCATGCTAAATTATGTGTATCTTTAATTGTTTTTGTTTTGATTGTCAGTGAGCGATATATATAAAAACTATCCTGAGTGTATTGTAGTTGGTATTGCACTATCAATGAGTTTGTACTTGTTTTCTGTTATTACTGCCATGTACTAGATTAGGAATAATTGAATTTTTAATTTGGTGTTTGTCATAAGTCGATTTTTTGTTTTAATAGTCATTAATTAACGTGGATTATATAGACCACTTTGTTTTATTTTTGTCAATTCTAACTCATTATTATTGGTACTTTTTTGATTGATAGATCTCAACTCAGTTAAATAATCTTAATACATTAAAATTTTGACTGAATCTATTTAAAATCCTCGTTGACTTGTGAAAGATAGTTATTGTAATGATTAGATAAATTTAATTAAATTAGGTAATTATTAATAGTTGAACCCAAGATTCACTTTCTGTTCTATTTCGGACTCGCCAGTTGAGTGTATCTGCATCCCTACGTTGATGGTTGGATTGATACTCAAACTCAGTTCTTTTCGCTTCAAACTTCAATGCCTTTTTCGCCGAACAACGGAGTCCGGTTGGACACTAGTTCCTACAATCGGTATCTGTCTCATTTGCAAGAGTTCATTTTTTCCTGTTGTTTAATTTAAGGACTAAAATTGATCGGTCTACAATGGAATAGATACATCCTGATTGGCTCGGTTTAATATTACCTTTTAGTCAGATACTTGTGTTAAATTTGACTAGAAGCCAACAGTATAAATCAGGACGCTGTTTTTGTCTTATTTGGTACTAGTTACTCGAACAAATATTCTTACTGATTTGTTATAATTTATTTATTTATTTAAACACGTAATCATTGGTACAAGGAGGAAGCAATTATATGTGCGCCACACAAATCTTTTGAATTTTGTGAGGGTTGGGATACTGTCCGAGCGTCCAAACCGAAGCAGGTACTTTTCTTAGGGGGCCACTCCCCGAGCCTTCGACCTAAAGGTCTATTCCACAAGGCATTGGAGCAACGTTAGGAGATGCAGTCCCATAGTACCCGGTGACCAACAATAGGTTCGTACTTTATGTGTTCCCTGAGGATCTTGGAGTCCATGTGCACCATTGGTTTGGAATCAGGGTTTTCCAACTCCCCTAAGTGGATACAAAGGGTTTGGACTCGTAAATTAACATGAAATTTATAAAAAAAGAAATGCAACCCATTTATCATATACAGTTCTACGTACTCACTTTTCAACTTCAATGTCTATATTGAAGCTTAGTGATACTTTCCTATGAGATTGCCTGAATCAAAGAAGGTTATATTCGGAGTTAATAATAGCAATTTTCTTATTATAAAGATTGTACTTGTTTTTCTTGAAAATATTTCAGAAATGGATGTCGACCGTATGTGGAAATATTTGAAGGAAAGACCAAAGTATACTCAACTTACGCAGAATACGATAATTTAAGGTTATTATTATTATTATTATTATTATTATTATTATTATTATTATTATTATTATTATTATTATTATTATTATATAGGCAGAGATAGATGGTGACTCATGAGTCCATATAGCTAGTAACTATTGAAATGGAGTGAAGTTTAATTCACTTGTATCGATTGTTTGAATCTTATCTTTGGTGTTTAGAACTGCCATTCACAGAGGACGCTCATGTGCAAAAAGTGACTGATCATTTCTAGTCCCAAACATCAATGAGAAGATTGAAACAACCGATTCAAATGTGTTTCAGTTGTTGTCTACTGTTTTGCAGAAATTTTTTTGTTTTTGGTTATTAGGCCACTTTGTTGAAAAATTTAGTTTGGGTTTATTATTATTAAGGTATTTATCAATATATTTTTTACATAAAATCGAATTTCTTATTCATACGATAACCCTGTTTAAAGTTAGAAAAATAAGAAGACCTCTGTGATTATTATAGTTCATCTAGTAGGTAGCATCGATTTCATTGTCGGCTAAGTCAAATGACGAATTTTTCGAATGAGGACAAAGCTTCAAACATTCTAAATACAAAAGTTAATCAAATTGTAACATTATTTTTTTCAAAACAGGGGAACAACAGAAAGGAAATCAGTAGAATGCATAGAGGTGATTAATGTTAGCAGGATTTTTTATGTCTTAGTTATAAACAACATAGTAATCGAGAAGGTTGTGCACCCTTTTAGACTGTCTCATTTTACATATGTTCAGCAAGAGTCAATAAATGAGATGAAGGATAATTGAGGTTCTCCACTGTATTCGAACAATTTTTCTAAGATATTTGTTTTATTAGGTACAAGCAGTCTACTGCTCTTAATGCTATAGACTTCACTTTACAACCATAAAGAATCACTACATTGTATACTCATCGTTTGATAGCCAGATGGACACATCTTGTTTGAAATGCAGATAATTCAAGCTTGGTAAAGTGTTTGGGACGTTAGGTCCCCAGAACTCACTTGGAAAAGGACCTAATTTTGTAATTTTATTTAGAAAATTTGAATTTCTTTGTTTTCGCGCCAAAAGCGCTCTTTTCTCCTTCATGTCGTATTTCCCACTTGGGAGAATCTTAAACGCTATTGGTCTGTTGTGTCTTTTAGTATGCTATTTTGTAACTCTCCCCAAGGACGGTTTTGTGCTGTACGTATACGTTTTGATTTGTGTCTGTTGTTATCGCTTGTTTTCTGGCTGTTTGCGGAATATACTTCGCCATTCCAAGCTTGGACTTCTTCCTCTAGTTAGCTGGGTCGGGACGTATCAAACAGCTAGCTTATTGGTCCATGGTCACAAGTCTTTGTTCCGTTCGCAGTCTAAGTGAACTCGTAACCGCTTCAAACCTAGCACAAAGGATGAAATCAAGTCGGCTATCAATCCATCGGGGATGATGAAATCTACAAGATCTGAAAAATCGTCGGTATGACCAATTATTCCACAACCTATGACCAAATTAGGTAAAGACACAAACCAATTGCTAAGCAATATTGTACATTTAGAAAGAAAGGGAAGCATTCTAAACACTTTCAAAGAACTGCTACATTTTGTTAGTATCTCTTCTAATTAGGAGTGTGCCATCTGAATATACCAATTAGATATACCACAAAGGTAGGTTATCGAGTGGTAAATTAATGTAGCATTGACGAAGTAAATTTCTGTGTATTTTACCTTGAATCACACTATGTTTGATGGATAATGGTTCTACGTTTCCTCGCAAATTAAATTGTAATGTGGGATTTTAACACAGTAATTGTTTTCTAACTACTATAGTAAATTAGACTATCTGGTCCAACAGATTCTGACTATGTGTTTTGTATATATGGAAACATTTACACTAATGAGTACAGTTTCATTTCCAATCCACTGAGTACGTTGATGTTACTTATAAATGACTGACGATTATTCCTGTGCGTCGGTTGATATCCATGAAAAATAAGACAATAAATCTCGCTTTCCTTTCTTTTTTTGTTGTGTCCTAAACAATAATTTAAAAACGATAACTTATTTCCGTCAAGTGGCTGATACGTCAACTATTGTGCAGAACAAAAACGTCATTACATTAGTGTAGCTCAGTACACAGTAAATTTTTTGTGAAACCTAGTAATAATACCTAGTGTTTTAGTCTGAATCAGCAAATTAGTGGTTGACAATCAAATGATCGAATGCCTTTGAAGCAACAGATAATCTGACGACATAAATTTTATTAGTTTCGACTTTTACGTGTTTTTATAATAATTATTTGTACTTGTTTTGTCTTTATTTTGTGATAGATCCTATGTTCTTGAAGATGGAAAGATCCAAATACTTTTGAATGGATTAACTGTCTTAGGTGATCTTACAGTTATCATTTATCATTGTCGATCTTCATTTGCTGGACGTGGCAAGGTAATATCTACCGTATTTACTTTCATACCCTTTTGTTTACAAATATTACTACCTATGTTTCATATTTTTTATACTTAAAAAATTCACTTACTCCCAGCAGTAATTATTCATTTTACTCTAAAACACTGGTAATTTTGCTTTGAAATATAATCCATCCGTTGTTTACAATATCATTTGGAAATTCTATTTTATAGTTGTGTAAAGGTCAATTTTTAAATCATCTATTCTTGCGTGTACACCAAATCGACTTTCTGAACATTTGGGTTAGGTTTGCATTGTATAACAGCACACTTATTTCGTGTTCAAATTGTTTGCATACTGCTGAAATGTGAGATGGTAGTATTTTCTGAGTTTTTGTAGTAAATTTAGTAGTGAATGATACCCTGTTTAACTGCAAGTATCTTTATTGTTCTAAAGAAGTAATTACAATTTATCCTATCAAAAGTAATGTATTTTCTAAATGCAAATTAGCTTAGTTTACAAATTTTATAGGAAATCTTATCAAGAATCTACTTGTATTGTACTATCCAGGATGACATATTAAACATTATCACTTCATTAGATCTGAAGAAATATAACTATCTTATAAATAACTTATTGTTGTGTCTTGTTATCGAAGTTCAGTACGGCCTACGATGTTACAAATTCAGGGACAAAAACGACAGAGCTTTTCTAATACGGTCGGTTCTCTTCGGAACCGACAACAGTCAATCATACTCAACACATCAAACCTCGACGGCTAAGACGGGAAGGAGACGGAATTGCAGGTAACTTGATATTTATGATAGAACAAGCAACCCAAACGAAATCGGTACAAAAGTTGTTACTGTCTTAGCAGAATGTGACCTTCGAGGATGTAATAATTTAGCGACCTAAAAGAATATGACAATCAATCAGAGGGCAAACGGATATCGTTCCAGAAGAGATCTAGCCTTTCTAATAAAGTCTGAATATTCTTGTGACTGCCTTAGCACTTATTCAATATTAAGTACTTTTTTGTTATGATAAATTGTACAATGACTGTGATATATTAATTGCATTCACTGTTGTACAGTTGATTCTAACATTGTCTACATTGGTAATTACTGGCTCATTCCATTGTGAATGAATAAAATCATTGTCAAACAAAAACTTGAAGAAGTCATGATATTAGTAACGCTGAGAATGCCAATTTAGAACTGCCGTAAACTATAGATAGAATGTGTAAGTACGTTTTGATTACTGTTAGCCTTCTGAAACTGTACTACCTAAAGTACTTCCAGTTTTTGGGGACAGAATAGTTGTGCTGACTTCAGTGACTTAACTGGTATCCTAACTTCTGATCAACTCATAATATATCCCTTCATTCTTGTTTTGATCAACACTATCCGTTATCAAACTGATGATAGTAACACTAGACTGATTGAACATGTAATTGAATATATTCGGTTCTGTAATAAAATCTTTTTTTGTTTTAATCATTATTACATTTTGTTAGTTTACTTACTGTTAACTAATAATTGATTGAGTAAAGTGTACCGACTTGTTTTTTCTGCACATTTATGCCAAATAAGTTCATAAATTACAAATTCTGTTTTTTATATGTATAAGTTCCTACTTAAAATTCCAAATTATTCATGATATTTGTGTTCATGACATTTCATCATGGACTGAATCGAAACATCTAGTATTTTTATTATATCTCAATCTCATGGTTATATAAGGTAATTTTGTTTAACCGAATAACTGAGATCTTTAACCTTGTGAACTAATCAGCTTCATTTTATGAAAAGCCATATCAGAATATAAGATTACATTGTTACATAAGATTAGCTACTTCAATATGTTTCACATGTGTGTATGCACTCGTTCAATTATCAATCTAAGTTCATTAAAATGACAGTTATTTTTATCTTATGAACCAATCATTATCAATTCGGTCTACTTTGCCTAACATATTGATTTAATTTATTTATTATGTAAATTATTAGTTTCTTTTTGTGATTTCCTTTTAAATAAATAATTTGTTATTCGATAATTATAGTTAAAGCATAGTATGAGTAAAGGAAACAATCAGAGTAGAGGAAATTTTCTCTGAGTTTTGTGCCAAAATTAAAAGTTCAATAGATTTGATCCTCCATCACAAAAAATATATGCAATAGAAATACCTTCTGTCTAGTGTTTAGAATGCTTAAATTTGGTTGGGAAAGTTCTTCTTTTCGTAAAGCAAAAATGATAATGTTCAACTTATTAACTGCTCAATGTATTATCTGTCAATTTTACAGAAAATCAATCACTTTTTGTCATTTACTTTGATTATGGTAACTTTGCAAAGAGATTATTTTATTAATGATTAACTGAATTATAATTGATAGGCAAGTATAATAGGAACGTTGAAATAGATGACGATTTTCTCGCATGAATTGTTCATGTCATTATGTTGACAATCATGGGTGACTTACCATTTCATCTCTTTAACTCGAACAAATTGATCAATAAGGATTTTGTAGGCAATGATAAACTTACATTCTGAAACTTTTTAAGGTTATGAGAAAAATCCAAAAATTAACTGTTAACGTGAATAATTTCCCTTTCAGATTTATGCTGCTTTATGTAGTGGTACTTCTACAAAAAGACTGATAACAAACCATAGAAGATTACTGAACTTTATAAAACCACTAACAAGTCTCACAAGTTCTTTTGTAAAATACTTACACAGAATCTCCGTTGATTGACTGTCTATTGATTTTAATTTACATAGTCATTTTAGGAGCCATTCAGGTTCGTCTCTATGCTGAACTTTTACTAAACTTATATTAATTCCGACTTATTATTTTTGTATCACAAACTTGCATCTTCATTTTTTCGTTGAAAATAGTGTATGTTGTCAATGACATATGTGGATATGTGTTGCTCCTCTCATATTATTCTTTTGTTATAGATCAGTTCAGTGAAGATCGCTCAGTTTCAATTACACACTGGATTTGTAGAACATAATTTAACAGAACTAATTTATTTTAAGTAAGTCATTTTACATATAGATTTTAGGAAGTGGTTTTTCTTTTTGATTTTTGAGACATTGATTTTTTTTTCAATCTCTTTACGTGTTTAACATCAAATGTGTAAATGTGGGTTTTTCTACGTAATAATATTAAATTGTTAAGATGGTAATCTTTATGAGAAACAATGTATATCTGCTAAATCTCTTGTACAAACTATTACATTTATTGGCAATATAATTTCAATTGTATTCAAGTCTAATTATTATTTGAACACATAAATATTGGTGCAAGAGAGCGCCAATATATATGCGCCACACAAAACAATGAGAATTCGAAGAGAAGTAGAAAGAAAAAAAAAACTAAGGAACGCAAAAGAAAAAGAGAACAATGACGAAGAGATTGGAGTAAGGTAGTGTGGTAGTAACGACGGAACGAAAAGGTACAATCAGAAGAAATCTTTCAGGTAAAGGAGACACAACCACTTTTTATGAAGAAAGTAAAAGAAGGTTACAGCAGGATCGCCACTGGCTTCTATTCTGAGCCATATCTGATAACGTCTCTAGCCACTGTGTAGCACCATCTCTCGGACCCCAGCCAGGGAGTCGTGAAGGACCAACACAAGCCAGTCCTTTGCAGCTTTCTTTCATGCCACGACACCATGTCATGCACTGACCACCTCTCCGCTTCTTCCAACCAGTCCCAGAGTCGGCAAATAATGCACGACGTGGAATTCTCTGAGACGACATTCGGAGAACATGTCCAAGCCACCGAAGTCGATGTTTCAAGATGGTGACACCAATTGAGTTATCATCTCTGTGCCCGAACACACGATGCCGAACCTCTGCATTACTGACATGGTGTTGCCACTGAATGTCAGCAATCCTTCGGAGACAGCGATGATCGAACACAGAGAGTCGTCTAACGTCCTCAACTCGGAGAGACCAGGTTTCACAAGCATGGAGCAAAACTGCTCTCATCGACGCGTTGTAGATCCGGCCTTTTACAGCCAGACTAACATCACGAAGGCGCCAAAGGTGGCCCAGATTGGCATAAGCCGCTCTGGCTTTCACTATTCGTGCATTGATCTCATCACTCACACCCCCATCAGCACTTATGCAGCTATCTATATACACGAACTTCTCGACTACTTCTATCTGCTCACCATCCAGGGTGAGTACAGGATTAGAATCCTGCCAGTCTTGTAGAAGTACTTTGCACTTCGAAGGTGCAAAGCACATACCATACCTACGGACACTGATTGCCAACTGATTAAGTGCGGATTGCATGCCTTGGGCATTATCGCACAGTAAGACAATATCGTCCGCATACTCAAGGTCGAGAAGTCTTTCTCCAGGCAACAGATCCACACCACCATTACTTACATTCATCAGAGCTGTTTCCAGAATGTCATCGATGGCAAAGTTGAAGAGGAATGGTGAGATTGGGCAACCCTGCCTAATTCCACTGCTCGAATGGAACAATGGAGAGAGGTGATTGTATGCCCTCACTCTGCCTGAGGTGTTTGTATATAGGGCTTTTAGGATGTTAATAAACTTCTCAGGCACACCCTTCTTCAATAGACAATCCCAGAGAACAGTCCTGTCCAACGAATCGAAGGCAGTCCTGATGTCAAGAAACACTACGATTGTTGGCCTTTGATAAGTATGGCGGTGTTCTAACATTTGGCGGAGGGTGAAGATATGATCAATACATCCTCGACCAGAACGAAACCCAGCCTGCTCCTCGCGAGTCAATCTTTCTCGGGTTTTGAACAACCTACGAAGAATGACGGAAGCCAATAGCTTGGACGCAATCGGAAGTAAACTTATCCCCCGATAGTTGTTACAAGAACGACGTGAACCCTTTTTAAAGATAGGGACAACTATCGACTCATTCCATGACGTTGGTACACTCTCTAGTTCCCAAACCTTTGTAAACAACGTCGTCAATTCCTTAGTCAAAAAGTCACCACCATCTTTAAAAAGAGCCGGAGGTAAGTCATCTGGGCCAGGTGATTTGTAACGCTTCAAGAGTTGGAGTTCCTTGCGGACTTCCGCCTCATTTGGTGGATCAGTCGTCGCCGGCCATGGAGGGCAGGACAGTCTGACCGATGTTGCCGGAGCAGCAGGCCAGTTGAACTGCCATTCGAAAAATTCTACCCATCGTCCAAGACGTCGATGGATGTTTCGCTCACACCAGACTTCTTGCTGCCAGTGGCTCGGATGAGCTGGAAGAGCTTCCGGCAGTTACCAGATGCAGCTGCTGCTTCCAGCTCATTAGCACGCATCGACCACCAGTCTTCTCGGTCCTTACTCAAGCTTTGCCCGATTTCATTACGTAACATCCTTCGTTTGTGGTCAAACTCACGGTCACCCGGAGTAGACCGACGGGCTTCAATGAGTTGTAAGGAGCCTGAAGAAACCCAGTGCTTATAAGCGGTTCGTTTCGCGAACCCGCAACTCTCTTCACTTTCCATTTTCATGGCGTCATGTAATTGCAACCAAAGCTTATCTATACACTTCGGTGGGATAGTAGCTAGCCTATAAGCTAGCTCGGTTCGATACTTACTTGCAACAGAAGTTGCAACCAGCTTGCTATCATCAATCCGTTGGTGGCGGTCACTTTGTTGGCCAGTGAAAAGTAAGATAAGATTGACGCAGACCAAGGCATGGTCAGAGTCCAGATAGGTACTCCAAAAGGAGCGGCAGTCTTGTACACAACCACGCCAGCGATAGCTGATATCTATGTAATCAACCTGAGTCCAGGCTTGATATGCAGAAGGAGGACGCCAGGTGGCACATCGGCGATGACTGTGCCAGAAGTTAGTGCTAGCCAGAAACAGGTTGTGGTCTGTGCAAAGTTGCAGTAGACGGTCCCCGTTATCTGACCTGCGACAACAAGCCCCCATCGGCCACCTAAACGACTCTCTTCTGTGCCTAGACGTCCGACCTGAGCATTCAAGTCTCCGGCTAGTACTACAATATCTGTCGAACGCACTTTCTGGAGAAGAACTGATAACTGGTGGTAAAACTCATCCTTGATTGCATCGGGGCTGCAATCTGACGGGGCATAGGTGGAGATGACGAAAAGACATCGTTTCTCAGGCCGATTTCTTCTCACTTTGATGGAACTTTCTAATCTAACAGCACATAACCGACTGTTAATGGGGATCCAATCGACTAGTGCTGCCTCAGCTCTAGCGCTTAGTGCTACACCAACGCCAGCAAGACCAGACGAAGATGCCACAGGGTCCCCGGATAAGCTCACGTAAAACATGCTTTTCGAAGCGACAGATGGAGATCGAATTTGTAGTACTTCGCCAGAGTCTTGAATACAGGTCTCGGATAGACAACAGACGTCGATATTAAGACTTTCCAAAGACATCGCCAGCCCTATCTGTTGTCCGACCTGCATAAATGTGCGAACGTTGAAGGCAGCCAGTTTGAATGGTGCACGTGGTTTCAGAATAACTGCTTCAGTCCTCGTATTCGGTGGTAACATACAATTTTCAACCGGACAGTGACTCGAGAACGTTTAGATACAGTCGGATTTCCACCAAAGACGAGCCGCTGTATAAGTATAAAAGAGGGTGAATAATGTGGAAAATAATAATAATAATAATGATAATAATAACAATAATGACAATAATAGTAGTAATAATAATATTAGTATTAATAATGACAATAATTGTAATGATAATAATCTGAATCAATTGTTTGTTTTTCAAAGCGAGAAAGGTAATTTCCATAGGCATAAAGAGTTCGTCAATTTGTGTGTGGGCTGTGATACTGTCCGGGTGCCCAAACCGAAGCAGGTGGTTATCTTAGGGGGCCACTCCCCGAGCCTTTGACCTAAAGGTCTAACCCACAAGGCAGTGGAGCATCGTAAGGAGATGCAGTCCCATGGTAACCGGTGACCAACGATTGGTTCATACGCCATTCGTACCCGCAGGATACTGGAGCCCATGTGCACCATTGATTTGGAATCCGGTTAAAGCGCCGGACATTCGCTTTTCGTCCTCTCATTTTCGTAAACAACACCCCCGCCACGAGAAGGCAATGAGTAGAACTTCCCTGGCAGAGGCTGTATACGCGTGGCCGTGTGAGAGTATTTCGAGAGGGAGAGCGGACTCTCCCCACTCTCGGCCGTACCAGGGCATTCAGGGGCATAATATGAATTGTCTGTACAATATGAACTGACCTTGTGACTGATCACATAACCTCTTTAATCGCTGTTTAAACTAATAAAAAAAACTAATCAAGGACATTTATGAGTCAATGATTACAATGAAGTAGATCGCATAACTACACATAATTGGTAAAAAGTACTAATTCATAATAAGAAGAGATGTGTACTAGTTGTAATAATAAGAATAACAAGAGTTCTAGTCAGTAGTTCAACATAGTAACTAGGTTGAACTTGGATAGGTAGACGTTGAAATAATAACCACATATTATTATTACCATTTGTAGTTTGTCGTACAATTATTGTGATTTGAAACTAACATGTCTAACGTTTTGTGTCTAAATGTAGAAATGTGGGTTTGAGGAACAAAACGCTACAATTTTTCATTGACAACAATGGTTATGGCGCACATTGTAGACACCAAACTGATTATAAAGAAAATCCCAAATTTTTGTCTAATAATGGGGAACATGTGTCAGTCAGTATATTGATGTGGTTCTAATTAGGATTCTCCTGTCTTTTTTTTCAGTTAGCAAATAAGCACTATATGAACCGATTGTATCTAATTGTTTGCTTTATGAGAAAGTAAATATATGTACACTTGGTCACCGAATTGTTACATTATCTTTTGTAAGCTCAAGTTAGCTAATTGAAGACTCCAAGAATGGAAATGACCTATGATAGTTTTAAATTAAACCATTAAATGTCAACTTTTGTTCCAATTTTAGCTTCATTTCACTGTCTAACGTTTAATAGAAATACAATTTTTATTCAGAAAAATAAATGTTATGCATTAACTTGACTGAAAATATCTCTCATATTGAGATAAAAAGTCGCCAGTTTCCAAGTATGCACTACTTGACATATATTTTGATATCCATTTGTTTTTTACTGTCATTAAATACCCTTTATATATAGCGAATTCAGAAATGAAAATTCCTGTTTTGTTTTGTTTGTATTTCTAGTCTTCTATTGCATACGGATATAATTTGAACAATGCGAAATACTACATAAATATTCATCAGTAATCATTCTTACCTCACTTTACATTAGGTTTTCTTCATAACACATCGGTCTAATTGGATGGAAAATGATTCGATAGCACTTTTGTTGACTTTACTTATGTACATTAAATTTAATAAAATGGAAAGAAACGATCCGATGTAAGCTGTTATTATAGCTGTTTGTAAACAACGATCTAATATCATTCAAAAATTCCACGTAGATAATGCTAATCATATTTGACACATCTTCCACAAAGTGAATCGCTTTGTGCGTTTTTGCACTGAATTCTTGAACAGGTGAATTTCTATAGTTAGCAAATATCTGCACTTTTATCTTTAAGCAATTGTTACCGATTGATTATCCGTTTTCATTTATTTCTGACATTAAGTACTTCATCATCGCTTTCATAATGTCCACTTTATCTTTAATCTCATCGACGGCCTATTGAAAACTGCTGACGACAGGTATACTACCCTTGGTTTCCATAGATTTCTCATCTTCAGATCACTTTGTGACAGGAAGTAATAAATAAATGCTTTTCTTCAAGTTTTGGATTAATATACCACTACGTATTGATTTTTCATTCGCAAAAACATTTGCCCCTATGCATCATTACATATTACTTTTTGTTTTTTCTCAATTTCTCTTCAACAGATCCGATTTAGATCATCTAGATAATAGTAGCAGCTTTGCCGGTTTCACTAGTCGTTATGCTGAAAGTTTTCATGTTACATTGGAATTTATGGTTTCACCAACTGAAAGACCAAGACAGAGTGACAATCTTGTTTATCCGTGGGAAACTTTGCCATCAAATGATCTACTTAGTCCTAAACTCTGTGTATCAAATCATGATGAACTGAAAAATATCTTATCTGATTACGGTAAATAAGAATACATAGAATGGTTTTATGCATAAATATTTGACGAATTTTCACTGTGTTTGTATTGCATTATTTATAAAATGATGATCATTGATACTGTTCTTGAGCAAAATGAATTCAATCGTATATTCATATTGTGAGCATCAGCTATGTAAATAATTTCCTATTAAAATTAGCTCTCCTTGTTAAATAACCATGACAGGTATAATGATAATTGTAATAATTCAAAACGTAAATGTATTGCTTATATCCAATATATATCAAGTTTTGATTTAGTTAGCTAAGCAGTATAAATCAATTCATAAAGTATCAAAATATACTTTTGACTAGCCAACTTATCTTCAATATGTAACTTTTCTCGGTGATTATTCCTCTGAATAATTTCATTTACCTTAAAAATTAGAAAACACAAATGAGTTTGTTTATTCAGTTACTGAGATTATTTATTATGTTGAAAAAATTCACTTGTTAATTGGTTTAATTTTTAGAAAGTGAAACTATATCGTAATTCAGTAATATGTCAAGTATTTTTAATGTGTTTTCCTCTATAATTTTTTATTTCAGAGATATCTTCCGTTTCATGGTTGAGGTTATCCACAATGCTTTCGACGTTCACTAATTGTATCATACCTAGCATTTTCAGTTATTATTTCTGCATTCATTTAGTAACCGGGTTCTGTGTACTTTTCATCAAAGATGTTGCTTCAAGTCTTGATCTTGATCTTGAACGACACTTCACCCGATATTTCGATGACAGACGAACGAGAATAACGTGAGACTCTTAAAATGGAATCTTCAATGAGAATTGTACTATAATCTGCTACATTTATTTACAAAATGAATGGGAATATTGCCGTAATTTCTGATGAAATAACTTAATTAGTGAACATTAAAAGCGTTGCGATAAACCTCAGCCATTTATTATTGGTTTAATCATAAAAGATGATGATGGTTACTTTTTTTGTTTAAATCGTGTTTTTATTTTGACATTCTTCTTATTTCATCTTCCGAAAACAACTGATGGATCTAGGCCGTTTTAATCATAAACCATCAACTCGAATGTATGAAAAAAATAGTTTAGAACCTAATCAATCAAATAATCCATCAGAAAAAGATTGTATAACCACTAATATTAATAGCGATGAATCATGTAATTCAACAAACCAGTCCACTACAAATTTGTTTACTACTACTCATACCATCGGTGGTAGTACGGTTAATTTAAAACAAAATACAGAAATTAATGATATTTTAGTCTCAGACTTAATCAATGATAATGACATGCCAAAGAATCATAATTATACTTATTCATCAACTTCTTCTGATCATTCAAAACAGATTAACTACAATTTATTAAGTGATAAATTCTGTGGGGATTTTTTTTCGTCGTCCAAGAATCAAGATAATAATATGGTGAGTAATCTAGTTTTTTTATTTTTGTTTTAATTAATTTATTTTCACATTTTTGTCCTTCCTACTTTGACTGTAATTTTGATCAAAAACTGAAATCAATTGAATGACTCAGGAGAAAACTAAATTATTCTAATTGAGGTATTCATCATCATACTGGTTCGGCATAGTGAATAACTTCACTATGGAATTTTCCGACGTTCTAGTGGAGACCTGGGGTCTGTGAAGTCAGATATGTTTGGGGCGAAACCGTAACTCACCGATGTTGTTGAATGAGAATCACTTCGCCTTGTGAATTGATTACAGTTAAAAAATTATGACTCATTGATAAATTTGCATCACCACCTCAAGATCTAAGGCCTTTGTTCGATCTCTTGTGATATCATGGGAACTTACGCTTAGAAACAAGATAGTTATTTAAAATTCAAATTGAAGGTTTGTCAAATCTTTTTTGTATATATAATCCTATTAGGATAAATATCAATAATGTTAATAACAATAACTTATTTAGACTTTTAAAAGTAAACAACTGTTTCCTCTATATTGTTTTGAGTCATTTGTCTTATATTATTGATTTTCTGTGTTTAATACAGTTAATTTTTCGTTAGGATTTATATATATAGGATTTCATATATTAATGAATGTGCTTAGGGACTGAAGAATAATTTGTTACAATACTTTGGTTCATCCCCGAAAAACAACAATGTGAGTAGTAATGTTTCCTTCGATATTATCTTTGTATAAATTGCCACTACACTGTTCAAACAACCATCTGTTTACCAAGTAAAAAGTTTCCATCGTGAAATTGGATTGATTTGTTTATGTGTTTTTCACATTCAAGTCTCATTAACGTATTGTATTAGCTAGCCTAATATAAATGTGGTAAACACTGTTGTTTGTTTGCTACAAATCTGTATGTTTATATTCCTGTTTATTCCTTTACAGGAGGCAAGTTCTGATAACCTGCTTGGATTCCATGTGGAATCTTCATTTCCAAACACTGACAATGCTGCTACTTCTCCCACTTCTTCTAATACTGATGATCATATTTTAATTGATGTAGCACAGAATCCTTTCGTAATTTATAATAAAAATTCACTAGATGAAATTATTACTTCATCAACAACTAGTCAGCATAGTAATTCAGATGATTTGAAACAAACTGATCAAAAATCATTTGTTGATGATTTATTTAATTTCAACTCATCTATTGAAGTCAATTCAAAAACTGATCTCGGTTGGGAGAATTTATTTGGTATCACGTCATCAGAAAGCACAAAGACCACTACTATCATCACCACTAGCCAAAGTACTACTACAAACAACATTGGCTTATCCAATAATCCTTTTGATCCATTTGGTATAGCCACATCAGAATTATCTGATTTCTTTTCAGTACCAAATTCTTATATATCAAGTGAAAACAACTCGACTACTACCACTACTATCATCCTTCCTGATAAAACTACCGCTACTAACTATTCTCCTCCTCCAACTACTAATACTAATACTACTACTAGCAAAGATTACTTTGGACAACAAGGTGGTCATTTAAGTGCCAGCGCCAGTGCTAATAATTTAAATCCGCTTTTCGCATCAGCTTCTTTTACAAATTTGTCTCCTAACGTTGAAACTATCCCAGACAAGACTACTAACACAGCAACTACTACTACTGGCATCAAGAATCATGATCGCCTAGATCCATTTGCAGATTTTGCTGATGTACTTCGAGATCGATTAAATAATCAAACTTCTTCCAGTACAAATGCTACAAATAGTGATAATACATATACGCCACCATCATCAAATAGATCATCCACAAACTTAGGTGGTTTTTCTGCTGGTCCCAGTCCAGCACATAATTTTAAATGTGAGCTTTTTCCAAATGTGATGAGATAATTCATCTTGCGTTTCATTACTACGCGTAAAGAACAGTAAATTTGATTCATTTTATGATGCTAAGTTAAAACACCAGATGAATGAAGTGTATCGAAATCATGAACTGATTTCGGTTAGACCACCATTGAAAAACTGGAAGCACTGAACGGCCGTTTCGTCTTATTATATGGCTCCAAAACAGTGCGCATCTACGACCTTGTACGTGTAAATCAATCCCAGGTCCTTGGGTCTAGCGCGCAAACGTTTAATCTCTAGACCATTGAGCCGACACGATGGTTTCAATCAATCCATGACATTGTGCCACCATTTTTATTATATTCGGTGGATGGGTGCGCACTACTGAGAATTCCCCTACTAGGACAAGACGACCGTCCAATGCTTTCAGATTTCAACAATCTCCAGAACATCTTTCTGTGAATGAAATTAAATCTGAAACATTAATAGAATGAACGTGATTCATGTTGAGTGATATCCTTAATTCATGGATTCAATAATTTGTCATGTTTGTATGTCTATTCCTTTTAATGTTGACGTAAGTGACAAAACAGCATAAGATTATTATCATTGTCGTGCTTAATTCGATAAAAACTTACGAAATATAGAGGACTCAATTGTCACTTGATTTTCGGTCGTTTACGTATACAGTCTTAAATGAATTGATTAAAATAAACTGTATAGTAAAGTGTCGGTCTAAGTTCTCGCTCTTGTAAAGATTACGATTAGAAAATTAATGTAACTATATTTTGAATAACATTCGTTTGAGCAAATTATAGTGTAAATGTTTTTCTACGCGATGTCAATTATATCAATGCACAACAATTATAGATTTTGATTGTACTATGAATTTCAACTGTATAGCTCTACGATTTGTTTCTAAACGACTCTTCCAATAAATCAACATTAGTTCATTTTGAAAATACATTGAATTCATTTGGTTGGAGATAGTCGGCTCGAAACTTTGGACCCAGGTCCTATATTAGTTAACATTCGTCAACGTGGCGTATTTGTATTCTTTAAGGAATTGGGTTCCTCTGGTGAACTTAAATTTGAGCAGCCGAATCTCACTGTTTGTTGTATTATTGTAGATTCATATAGGCTGAGACTGACTTCCTGTAGGACCGATATATTTATACTGAATAATCACTAAGTATTGGCCAAGTGGGTGCTTCTCTAATCCTTTGTGCTGATCAAATTCCGTCGATCAAGTCCATTCATACTTTTTTGAAAAAAATCGTTTTCATATTTTTAGCTAGTATCGACTCAAAGTTTATGAACAACTCTTCAAATTATAAGGAAAGTCCTGATAATTTATTCCATGGTTATGAGAAATCTAGTCAATCGTATTCTTCCTACTCCAATTTTCCTAATACTACTACTTCTGGATCTACATCAATACCAACTAGTGGAGGAACTGGTGCTAGACCTCATGTTAATAAAGATGCATTTTCTGATTTACTCGGTGGATTTGGTTCTTCTCGAACAAACAACACAGATGATAATAAACAACCGAAAACAGTAAATCAGATTCGTCGTGAAAAGATGGCTAAAACGGTCGATCCAGAACAATTGAAAGTAACTTTTTTTAATGAGAATTTTTCAATTTTGTTTAAAGTTGACAATTTTTTAAGATTAAAAACTGCCGCTTTATTCATACTACAGTAACTGTTAATTTCCCCTCTGTCAAATCTTCAAACACAATCTCTGGTCATTATAAAGCTAGTAAATAATAATTATTGAAGACTGATCGTGGTAGCTTAATAGTTAATACACTTAAATTTCAGTTGTATGGGTTGTAAATTTGAGATCCATTACACTAATTTCGATAGTTTATCCCATCATATCTCACACAAAAGTATGAATCATCATTGAATACTAATTTACACCTTGAAAAATTTTGAATAATGTATATTAGTAATTGAATACGTAATGGCTCAAATAATTGACTCATGATTTGTGACTCATAGACACCAACTGACAGGTAATCAAATAGCTAACATTAATAAATTAACCCTAACTTTTGTGTTTTCGCCTACTTCATTAACAATAAGTCTCTCAACTTAGTGACTATTCCTTGTGCTACAACTGGTAGTTCACGTAATTCTCTAACCAAAACACTAAAGATTCGATGAATGCCTTCTAAAAATTTGTTATTCAGATTCGTTACTCACGAAACTATACATATTGCACTAGGATCTAAAATTCTCAAGGAGTGCATAACTAGACTATTTCTTGATACAAAGATAAAGTTAACAGTTAATTGACCTGTAATTTGTGAACGGTAAACAAATTGTAACATCGAGATGATGGAGAAGATTTGTAGCTCAGGTGTATGATTTTGGAGTTTTGTTCTCAGAGAACAAAACTCCATCAAAATTGCAACACCATTCGATGACATTAAGGACTGAATGCAACTGAGTATTTGTTGGTAAATGAGAATGCTGATCAAGTGCTTCAATATAAAACATTCATGTTGAACAAGCTAATAACTCTCCGGAATCATTGTCTCAGTGGTATGACAGATTTCCATTCGAAGTAATAGTTAGATGGGCTTGGGCCTCGTTGTGAACATCAAAACTGCGATCCAGAAATAGGAAAAACTTATATACTGAATTCCGGCGCTAACTACAATCCATATATATTCTGCAACAATTAATGAATCAAAAAATAACTTACAGTTAGGTCTGTAAAAGTATCATTGGAACAACTGTTTCAGCAAGCATTCCTTAAAAATATGCTAGCTAATTCATTGAAAAATAACTATCCAAGTTATTTTTTTCTCTTACAGCATCTTCGTAAGGAAGTTTAACTAGTTTTTTTATAGAATATTTTCTCAATTAATTGATTATTTATTGCAGCTCAGTACCATCGGTTTACGTAACTTATAACTGTGGGACTTATTAATTAATTAATTAACTTTCCATATCTTCTATACTTAATCAAACGTTTTTTACTTAAAGGCTAGTGATACTCTCTAACTCCTTAAGTCGATATAGAGCAGGGATCAAATATGTAGTTCCATGGTTGAGTCGAGCGTTTTAACTATAAAGTCACCTTTTCAACATACGGTTTTTTCTGTTCATATTTGTGTTTTAAATTTATTAGACATTGCATATATACGATTGATAGCTATCAGAATGAAAGGGATTCCTAAAATTCTCAATGATACGTGTAACACTAATGTTTAGATGCTTGCAACTTACTCATACTCTGTATTTTTAAAAGTGTGTTAAATATTCTTATATCAATAAAGAGTTGGCTATTGCTCAGTGTATTCGTCTTTTGATAGTCAGATGAACATCTTTCCATCTCTATAATTAGCTAATTACATAGAACTCTTAATAATCATGTTATACTTGTTTTTAACAGTATAATTCTTTTTGTAATATAATTCTGTTTTTTATTAGGTCTGTGATTGGGCTGAGGGTAAAGATCGAAATCTTCGAGCATTATTATGTTCACTACCGGCCATATTATGGGATGGAGTACAATGGAATCATGTTGGTATGGCTGATCTAATAACGCGTGAACAAGTTAAACGTCAGTATCGGAAAGCTGCTCGTGTAGTTCATCCTGATAAGGTAAATTTGAATTGCTTTTATTTCTACATGACGAAACAAGATTATTATTGTTAGATAACATCAAATTCTGTACGTTTTGAGAAAAGTTATTCTTAAGTTAATTAAAGCATAGAATCTAAATCATACTCTTATTTTATGTATTTATTATTCTTTATATAGTGGATGAGTACATCACACGAGAATATCGCACGTCTAGTATTCGTTGAATTAAATGACGCTATGGCTGAATTTGACAAAAATTTTAACAATTCGTCAGTCAATATGAATTTTTAACATTTCCTTTGTTTTACCTCATTTCAAGTAACATTATCTATACGTTCTTGTATTTCTTCTTTATCCAACTGTGAATTTTCCTATTTATCATACAATTAACTAATTGTATCACTCTCTGAAGTCATTCCATCCTGAAAGCAAATACTTTTTTTGATGAGTTATCATAATACATCTTTTTGCTCTATCTTTTTATTCATCTATACACTGCCAGGTACCTCATCTTCTGACTGACAATCTATGTAAATCTGTGATGTAGATGATTTTGTTTCATAGATAGGAGATCAAGCATTATTTATACATTACTATCCTTGTTTTCATTTATTATTGTTCATCGATGATGGTAATACTGGTTGTGGGCATTGGTGATATTGTTACCCGCTCTCTTTCCTTGAACTAAATCCTTCTTATCCATTTGTCTCCCCATTTTTATTTGTTTTTCTCATATGATCACGAAGTATTACCATTATTATCAGATTTTGTCCAGTTTTTTCTCATGATTTTTGTCACAATGATGTCATACATCATCATTTGTAATACAAAGAACAAAGAGAAGAGAAAAATTTTCTGTTTGTTTATTTAAATAGTGCAATACAAGCGCCTGTCATAAAAAACATTCTTTTGTGCTTACATTCACATGGGATTTGTATATAGTTTAGTTTCGACGATGTACTCGTTGTTGTTATTTAGTTAGTGGTGATATTATTTCTATTGCTGGTTTGCAGGAAAAACAAAGCTGAGAAACAAAAAAAAATTAGTTTTCCAGTTTAGTAAAATAACAGTTTTACATTTAAAAAATTGTTATTATTCCTACTTATCAGTAAAATATATATCTTTTGTTTTCTTGGATTTTTTTCTCCCACCTCTCATCGTTAGTTTATTATTCATCTGAATATCAATAAACTTTCACGATACATTTGTTTAGTTCCAAACAATTATTCGACTGCTTCGTCTTCTAACATTGTCGTTATCAATATCTTTATCATTATTTTAATAAAGAAAATGATAATAATCGTCCATAAATGTTTTCTTTATCTCATCTTATGCTATAGCATCATAGTGGATCAGATCAGAGTGTTTGTGTGTGTGTTTGTATATACAGTTCAGTTTCATTGATTGATTACATAGCTTTAATTGTAATCTCGCTCTTTTATGAGTCGATAAATTCGATAGGACTACTCAAACATATGTAAAACAATATATAAATGAGTGTATTGAGAATAATATATTTTTCCAAAAAATCAATAGGAATTAGTTGATAAAAGGTACTTTTATACTCACAAGTTTGAAATGTTAAAAATATGTATATCAGAGTAAGTTTGATTCCAGTGCACTGGAACTCCTGTCTTTAGTTTTTTAAGGTAGCCACTTATTATGCGTAAATTCAGTTGAGTATTGTGTTATAAAAGAATATGGCTAGACTAAGAAGCATCGTGTCTAACACTAAATTAGGGTTATAAAACTTGTTTGTTTATTTTTTTTCAACGAACTGAATAGTGAGTATTTGTGGATATCTTTCCAAAGTTAATATTCTTTATGCGAATGTCTCAGTATCATTCTTGAAAAGTAATTTCAGTCTAGAGCATATTGAAATTAGTATGTTTATTTACGAAAATAAGTAACAATAATGCATGTATTAAATTTTAAAGTTAAATTTAGTTATTTGGTGACTGAAGACACACCACGTCTGCTTAGATTAAAGTACATGGAGAATATTATTACTGTAAAGAATCTTAAAAATGTGTTATGAAGGGAAACAGGTAGGTACAATCAATGCATTTCAATACAAAATTACAGAAGTCTTTCATCAAATGTGAAAAACCATATGTTCAATACTTCATTTGCAAATCTTCCATCGATTATCTCAAACTTCATTGTTCCTCCATTGGTATAACAATTACTGCCTATATCCATTCTCTTAGATTCGATCCTCCCAACATTCTGCTGCCAGTCATTCCACTCCTGATTGATGTTATGTACTACTTACGTCAACTTAAGTAGCATACACCACAAATGTTTCATTAATATTTAACAAATAAGTTTTAAATGGTGTAAAATGTTGAATATTTTCTAGGGATTTACAGAGCTTAGCATCGGCCTGCAGTTTTTCTACTATTTTTTGGTGAATATAAAATTATGATTCGAATTGTTGAGTATTTATGGAGATTACTGAATAGTTTATGAAGTTATGTGTTAACAGTGTATATAGGTTAGTGAATACACCTAGATATTCCTGTTCGCAATTGTAAAATATTTGAAACGATTACAAATTTCTCTCAGAAATCTAGGCAGGAATAATAATTTGTGAAAGAATTCTAGTTCTTATTGGCATTGACAAATGGCAAACGTAAAATGTTATAACGGACGAACTACTCTATGAATCGTCACGAATTTAATCTATTCCTTTAGTTCATATTTATGTGACCGAGTGGTGAGTGCTTTTAAAGAGAAAATTATTCATAAAATCCCCTCATCCTCGATAGACGAATATCAGTAGACAGAATAAAATAAAAACGAGTTATTTCGTGTCGGTACTAAAATCACATAATTATTTACCAAATATTTAATACAAAATAAACATGAATACAATTCATTCAAAATGTAAATGATTGTAAGATTCCTACTTCGTACGTCATTCATTGACCTTAGATATTAAGACCTGACGACCAAATTTACTTATTACCCGTCATAACACAAGAAAAAGTGCAGTTTACAGATACTTTGACCAGACCAAAAGAACGTAATCGTCAAACTATTGGGTTATGTAGGATATTGTGGCCCACTTGCGAAACGTTACTGAATGCTGTATAATTAAGCCGATAAAAACTAAAGGTTAACTAGGAAGCAACAATGAAATAGCTTGTACATTAGTTGACTGTTGGTATTGATTGTTGTATTTAGCGGTTGTTCTGTAGTGAACAGTAACACCAGTGGGGACAATCGAGTGTAATTGAGCACGAAATTACAGAGCATCTCACTAAAATCTGAGAACCATGTAAATCGTTAATTTGCAAAATATTGATCCATCATCTCAAACTTGACTGTTTCTGTTGCAAACATCAATCCATTGTTTCAGATTTCACTGTTCATGCGTTTTCATACCAATTGCGTTCCGTTTCCGTTCTTTCCTTCTCGATCTTCTACTGAAATACATCCTATGCCTGACCATCGTTATATACTACTTATATGAATATAAGTAATCCACACCACAGTCCGATCTTGATTTACAGGCTTCATGCATACGAGCACAACCAGCTATTTGGAAATATCAAGGACAACTGAGAAGCTTTATTGAAAAACCTTAGTCAAAGTTTCTACACAAGCTTATTCATATCTCAGATAATAAATCCAAAACTGAACTCCTCTTATCCGATTTCCATCTTCCTAAGAACATTTTTATTTATTTGAAATCTATTCTGTCGCGAAGTATGTCAACTTCGAACATAGGGCGGTGAATTCGACGGAGTGGTCGAGTTTGCCTATCGTGATGAACCAATCGGGCTTTGCCATGCCATGTAGATCCGTCGAAGAACGTTAAGACTGAAGGCAGCAAACCCAAGATCCGCAGGTGAAGTCGTACTATTGTTTCTATTGAGGTGTGACGGCAGTAAGGTCTTTTGCTCAGATAACCAACATAATAGCGATACTGCCTTCCCACAAAGGAAGGGTTAGTTTAGAAAAGGTGAACCCTAAAAATGCACTATTCACCTTGTCATATGGATATCCGTCTCCAGCGGTAAGGTCTCACCAAGTACGGAGGTAACACGAAAATTACCCACAAAAATGTGTGTGACCGCCCTCAAGCAGTTGTCCCTTGGGCATTGCGGTCACGTTCTCAGGTCACTAAGACCAACTTTAACCTATTTTTCTTTTCAGGCACTTCTCTCTCTAAAGCGGTAAACAGTCCTTTTTCCATCGTTCCATGTTCCACACCTACTAAGTTTATGGTAATTAGGCCGATCAAAACATTGTCTTATCTAACGGGACATGTGTATAGTATTTACTCTCGTTGATAGTTTTAACATTTATTTGTAATATTTGCATATTCATTATGATGATTGATTGGAAATGGGTGTGCTTCCTAAGTCTTAAATATCAAAGTATGTAAAATGTCGGTAAATAATTTTTTGATTGAGATCATGAACCGATGAATGTCCGACCACCACCTTTGGAAACCTGGAAGCACTGGACGGCCGTCTCGTCCTGTTGTGGGACTCCTCAGCAGTGCGCATCCACGATCCCACCCGCGGGATTCGAACCCAGGGCCTTCGGTCTCGCGCGCGAACGCTTAACCAACTGGACCACTGAGCCGGCATCCAATGGTGATAGTGTCTAACATCAACCAATCCACGAAATTGTGCGACCAACTTCCATTGTACTGAGGTAGATACCTGTCTCTACCCGACATGGATTAGCTCCACTGATCACGGCTTCTCACTAGAACTCCGAGAATTCCCTCACGAAGCTGGTCACTAGTGAGCACATGTTGATTACTAGTATAGGACGAAACGGCCGTCCAGTGCTTCCAGGTTTCCGAAGGTGGTGGTCTAACATCAATCGGTTCATGATCTCAATCAAAAACTTAATAGTCTCCACAACCCCTATACCAGTAAATAATTTTTTGTTTATCTCATAGACAGACATTGTAGTCTTTTCTTTATCAATCGGTATCCTGTTCTGTTCATCATTTAAATTTAGTGAACTTTACTCTTCTCTTATAAGTAATTCAGGACTATTCTGGTTTATTCTACTATAATAATACTAGCTTAGTTGATTGATTTTTTCATACCCCGTTCCTTAAATAACCTTGTCGCTATTTATTCCTTCAAATATGTATTTCTTTGCATTTGACCCATATATTTATTTAAACTTGAGAAAAAAATCTTTTCTTTATATGATTGAAATCAGTTAGTTAATTGAATGAATTCGATAAGCAAATAATTAA